GTACCGAACTTGCACACGAAAATCACTCACTACAAAAGCAAAAGACTTGGCAGACGATGCAACATCCCCCCAATGAAAAGCAGGGGTGTCACTAGCATGTTAAGAGACCATACAATAAGTGTCAGGGGCCTGAGACTGTTCAACTGCCTCCCAGCATACATAAGGGGGATTACCAACAGACCCCTGGCAGTCTTCAAGCTGGCACTGGACAAGCACCTAAAGTCGGTTCCTGACCAGCCGGGCTGTGGCTCGTACGTTGGTTTGCGTGCAGCCAACAGTAACAGCCTGGTTGATCAGGCTCTGATCCACCAGGAGGTCTGGTCACAGACCGGGCCGCAGGGGCGTTGACCCCGGAACTCTCTCCAGGTAAACTCCAGGTAATTTATTTACTTATTTTTCATATAGAGTCATACCACTGCCCTATGTCATTAATTGGTTCCAAGAGCCATGACAAAGCCCAGTTTTTGACATAAACTGGATGTAATGCCTTTAAAATGCCTTAAAGTGATGAGAAACACCATAAAATAGCTTGCAAAAGAATATACCTATTGCAAACCTTAAATAATAATAAACACAATTAAAAAAATTATTTACCTTGTGATTAGCCCTTAAAATAAATTAAATATGACTAAAAACACCTTACATTAGTGTAAACAACATGCTTTTAATAATATTTAACATTAACGCTTGGAATCACTAGCACTACCCTTCTTAGGACCCATGGCTGACACAGACACAGTAAAGGAATAATCACAGAAGTAAGAGTGAAAGGAAAAACAAGCACGCAATTGCAGCATGGGCAAAAATGCATATGGCATTGCCCTTGTTTTGAATGAGAACCATTAGCAACACCGCCACAGACATCTGTTTACAATTTTTAGATGTAAATATTTTATTGTATGTGTATACAATTTTTTTGTTTTTAATGTGTTTTTATTGTACAGTGGACCCTCAACATTCGATACTAATCTATTCCTGAGAGCTATCGAATGTTGAAAATATCGAAAGTCAAATTAATTTTCCCCATAAGAAATAATGGAAATCAAATTAATCCGTGCAAGACACCCAAAAGTATGAAAAAAAAAAAATTTACCACATGAAATATTAAGTTTAATGCAATAGAATAATTACAATAACAGCAATAACAATAGATTAATAACAATAGAATAATTGACACTTACCTTTAATGAAGATCTGGTGATGATTGATGGGATGGGAGGAGGGGAGAGTGTGGATGGTGTTAGTGTTTAGAAGGGGAATCCCCTTCCATTAGGACTTGAACTGGCAGCCTCACCACACTGTGTATGCCACTACGATTCTTAAATCTTTCAAACCACCCTTTGCTGGCCTTAACTTCACTCACATCACCACTAGTTGCAGGCAATTTCTTTACCAAATCATCATGCACTCCGACACACGTACTCCACTTTCGTACTTTGCAATTATCTTTTTCTTCATTTCAATAGTCATTAGCGCCTTTTTTCTCGAAGGATTGGCACTAGAAGGTTTCTTGGGGCCCATGATTACTTATTTTGCAGAAACAAGCACCAAAAACAGTGATAATATGGATAATATTGAATGTACCAAATGTATCCTTAGATGTGCGCACACTGGCTGGCTTGTAAACACTGGCACACACGGGGCAGTTCAGGCCACACGTGGACACGTCTCGTACGAATCGTATCGAATGTCTGGTTTTCCATCGAATGTCGATGCCTTCGAAAGTCGGGGGTCCACTGTATTTTAAATTATTTTTTTTAGCTTTTTTTTTTATTAATTTTGTTTTATTTTAAATATATTTTTAAGAAAATTATTTCACGTCCTCTTATTATGATGTAGGTGATGTTGCTGAGTGATGTAAATGACTTTTGCTGAACTGAAATTTACTCTAGAAAAGTGGCATAAAGGAGAATTTGACGTAAGCCAAAATGACGTAAAGCAGGGTTCGTAATCGACTTATATTTTCAACTTATGGTGGGTTCATCGGAACCTAGCCCTACCGTACATCGAAGAGCACCTGTAGTTGTCAAATTCAGCGCCTTGGCAAAAGGCACAAGGATCATTACTAGTCCTTTGCTAACATGGTTTCATTGGTGGTTCTGTGGTAAATGCATCACCTAGCTCAAATGTGAATTGGATTATTTCAGGACTTGCTTGGTGGCACTCCAGAACAACAAAGAGCCACCTTGCATGATGGAAGCATTACCAGAGGTTACCTGCAGATCCTGAGTGACAACCGAGGGGGTACGACTCCTGGCATTTCCAATTGCCTAAGATCAAGAGAGTTCAGGTAAGACCCCACGTGGAGTGAGATGAGATAGGCGAAGAATAGCGGTGGAGAGGAGTGTCTACAGTCAAAGAAAAAGAGCTAGGGCTTAACCAGCTGCTAGGCGCTCATGGGACAAACTTGGAGAAAACAAGAAGAACAAGCTGTGTATGCATCGGTCTCATGGTAGTTGAGGTCTTGAGTCTTGGGAAGCTGGCAGTTTCTAGGATGCAGGAGAAGGTAGGCAGGTAGGAATATCAGAGGGCAGCACACAAGTGGGAGTTATAGGAGCAACTGAAGAGGCAGGTTTGCAGTGGAGCCATTTTCAAACTTTTTGAAGCTGCTTCTGGAGAGGTGGTATAGTCTTGTTACTGAAGGTGAAACGTAGAGGCTTGATGAACTTGCGAACTTGGGCAAGTGTGAAGTGAAGAGGTGATTCGAATGCATATTTGACTGTTCCAGCACCGAGGCCTTTGTAGAGCTCAGTGCAGGTCGTGGTGTCAGCATTCAATGGAGAATTGTAGAAGGTAAGGTTTTTCCCATGAGGGTGTACTGGAGTTGTTGCTAACTTCTTCTTCTGAAGTGGATTCATTTGGCGAGTCTACAATGGTGTTAGCTGGTGACTGAGGGTCAACTGGAGGAGTGGAGAGGTGTAATGGTGGTGTATTATTATTATAATCAAAGAAAGTGCTAACCCAACAAGAGTCATATGGTGGTGTAACAGCAGGTTGGGAGGCGTGGGAGATGGTGGTTGAGCCAGCATGATCATCGTTGTAGGCAGTGGAAGTGGTTATAGAAGTTACAGGAGCAGCTGCTTGGGCAGGAGACAGGTCTGCAGTTGCAGTAAAGTTCACGACGTTGGGAAGGATCTTGAGGATGTAGGCTGAAGGTGTGGAGTCCGGGAAATTGAAGGCAGGCAAGTTGTTCAGACAGAATAGTTCGTTAATAGTGGTGTTGAAAGTGCCGGGGTTTGCTGCATTTGCAAGGTGTGCATACACCATGCAGTACAGCACCTTGGAGGGAGCAACATCGGGGAGTGGAGAGGGGGAGTTGATGGGCGAAGGTGTCTGTAGAGTGGCATGTAGAATTTTGGTGGTGTCGGCTTATAGTTTGGTTATTGCTGCGTATGTCGGTGAATTGGAGGTGTTCTTCTTTAGTTTTCTTCGATATGATTTCTTTCCTGAGTGGGCACTTAGCTGCAAGGATGTGATGATTACCCTTGTAGCTAAGACATGTCATGTTGGAGCCGTAGTGATGGTGCAGGGTCTGAATTCGCGTCCATCATTCCCACATTTTGAACAAAACTTCTTATCCTTAATGGGGGCAGTCCTTGGTGGTGTGATTATAGGAGTAGCAGGTCCAGCAGTGGGAGACGTGTGAAACGTTCTGGTTCCATATGGCTTGGGCGAATGTGGGAATATGAGATGGCCAGACCGTCAGAGAGCGCTTGGGCAGCCATGGAGATGTCTGAGAATGTGATCTTTAGTATAGATGAGGCGTTAGGGATCTTGAAGATGCTATCTACCGAGACCCAGGAGTTTTGTTCCTCGATAGATATCTTCAGTGCTTCAGTAGAGAGAGAGGTGACTATCTTGTCCAGTATTTTCACAAAGACGTTTCGCCTTCAAGAATGGAGACAGGGATAACTTCGAGGAGTCACTGATTACTCCATTCACAGGCTTGATTTTCACACGATGCGACAGCATTGTGAGAAAGGAGGTGGCGCTTGTAGAATATAAATTCCCCTCCCCAGTGAGAATCGAAGGGAGATTTCTTAAGCGAACTGTGTCTTGCCAGCAGCAAGGTCAGCAGTGGCCTATCACTATTACCTGACTGACTAATGCACTGATAGTCTAATGAGATCGTTTTGCTAGGCCTATCTCAATCATTTTTGGAAGTGTCATCATGGTGTTCATTGTTTCAACATTGGATAAAATAGGAAATTTCCAGGGAATATTAGCATTGCTCTGTGATGGTGGTCATGGTTCAGAGTGGCTGCCTCTAATTCTATCCAAATCTATGGTTGATGAGACGTGTGCTCATTTTCTTGGACCCCAAGTGACAAGGGCACCCTCAATAAAGTCCAGCATGCCCACAGACCCTCCTGAGAACCAGTAATGGTTTTCAAGCACTTGTAACCCAAACCTGGTACCAGTGTTTGGCCCTCTTCTCTTCCGGTACCTCTGACCCCTGCAGAAAGACTTAAAACAGACTTTGTAATAACTACAACAAGCAATACAGATCCAACACAACCTCTGATTACACATTAAGAAAACCACAACTTGGAAACGTCTCCTAATAACAAAACTCTTTCAAACGCGAATACTTCATACACAATCGTATTTTTCCTCCCAGGAGTACATTGTTGCTTGTCTGAGTGTTGCACTCTTCACCAAAAGTAAGATTTACATACCTCAAAATCTCATTTCTCATTTTTTTAATCATTAGGATTATAATAAATCCACATTTACTTGCGCATTTTTGTTGCTTAAATCTGTCTTCACAACTTATTTTTCTATTGTTATTTTAATATTTTATTAGAACAGTTTTAAGGCTTATCAACTACAGCTGCGCTGTATAGCCCTTGTGGCTTAGCGCTTCTTTTTGATTATAATAATAATCATTATCAACTACAGTGAATTCATATATTATACTTCAATAACTAAACCAGGGATTTAACTAACCTCTGAATATTTACCTTGTCGTTGGTTTAAGTGTTTAAGATATTTGATGGGCAACAAGAGTACAGGTATTTACGTAAAAAGTACGTCAATTATTCTACTGTACCATAGTTTAATGCCAAATAGATTTACAGAAATATATGAAGTCTGAGACGTATCAAAAGTGTGTGTACCTAGAGAGCATGCGAGTGGGGCTCAGTGATGGTGAGGCGGCGAGTGGAGATAGTGACTCCACCGTCACTAGCTGACGACTGGATGGACGAGTGGTCGTCAGTATCACTCTGGTTGCTCGCGTAACCCAGTATGTCTACCTCATCTGCAATGTAGAGACAATTATACACGTTAGCTCATAAGATTCAGGTGCTCTGTGACAAGTCTCTCGTGTTCCTTCAAGAGCGATGGGGAGGGGTGGGTGGAGTAAGAGAGGTGGGTGCCTCTGTGCTGCTCAAGGGCTCTCTACCCACGGAATCGGAGCAAACCGCAAACCTCCCCCTCCTAGGATCAAACCTGATAGCCTGACATCCCTCAGGTACTGTATAACCCTCATAAGTTAAACACTTGGTCACGATTATACAAAATGTGGCCTGAGACAATCCTATAAAGAAATATTTTAACTTAAACCAAAAGTTATGATGTCGAATTATCATAATCATGGGAAAGCGCTAAACCATAGGGGCATACATCTCCTGGGAAATCATGGTAATCAAGTTTTGGTCCAAGGAAGGGGAGTTCCTTCCATTAGTCAAGAATACTTCACCATCAGATCAGCACCTTGATCAAAATATAGCAAAAAAAAAATAACAGTGAATTAGTCAAGGAAAACTATATCTACATGGCTTATTATTATTGAGATGCGCTAAACCCATAAGGGTTATTGAGTACTTAGGCAATGGGGGGTGATCAGGTCTACCTGCCACTACAATGCTCTTTAATATGACGAAAGTAAATACTAAGAATACATTGACTAATACTAATAATAATTAATTTGAAGAGAAAATATTTAAAGACAACACATAATTATTCAGAAAAAAGGCGCTAAACCCGAATGAGTCATAGTGATTAACACTATTACATTACTCTCGACGGGAAGCGACAAATCCACAGGGGGTCATACAACACATGGGGATGAAAGGCAGTCAAGTTCGATCCAAGGAAGGGGAGAATAGGTCCACTGCCTTGGAGCAAAAGTTCCTCACCGGCATTTAAGCACTTCCCTTGCAAGAAGCACCAAACAATATTAGAAACCTGCACATAGAAGGAGCCCCAGTTCCCCCACACATCGCTGCATGACCCTTGTCGGTTTAGCGCTTTATTTGATTATATCCCCACGCACACCACGTGTGTGTGCGTGTGTGCACGAGCTCACGGTCTGCTTGATTTTCTTGCATTATTAACAGTTCTGGTTAATTCAAATTAGTATTTTTTACGAAAGCTTTAAACCCGTAAGTGATACAGCACAGCTAATACCAAAATAAACGTCGTCTTAGTCATCAAGGCCGCATAAATCCTGCCACTACAGTAAGGTGATACAGCGTGGAAAGTGTTGCATGCAGGAATTATACTATAAATTCCAGCTACAGTAGTAGTGTTCTGCGGTTAAGGAAACATTTAAGCAACTGGCAGATTTATATTTAGAATTGTTCATCATTTATCAAAGTAACTGAAACATGGCGGGCACACTGCGTAGAATTATCCACGCTGGGTGTGAGCGTGTCAGCAGACAGTCGCTAGTACTCGTCGCCAACCAGTCTCCTGACATGTCAGTACTATGTCAGACGTCAGCATTAACTATGTCAGTTGTCGGTGCAACCTATGCACTATCCAGTCAGTGAATATTAACTCTGTTTCCAATCGTTACAAAAGAACACTGCAGCAGGCCTACTGGCCCATGAAAGGCAAGTCTAAGTCTTAAACCAATGACTCGCCTAGTCAGGTCAGGTCACATCCACTTAAGGAAGGATCACGGCATGAGACCTATTAGCACAAGCTAGTCAGGTCCAACCCACACCCACTCATGTATTTATCCAACTTATTTTTAAAACAACATAACGTCTTAGCGTCTATGACGGTACTCGGGAGTTTGTTCCACTCATCCACAACTCTATTACCAAACCAGTGCTTTCCTATATCCTTCCTGAATCTGAATTTTTCCAACATAAATCCATTGCTGCGAGTCCTGTTTTGGCTAGATATTTTTAGCACACTATTTACATTCCTTTTATTTATTCATGTTTTCCATTTATACACTTCAGTCATATCCCCCTAATTCTACGCCTTTCTAGAGTGCAGATTCAGGGCCTCAGTCTTTCCTCATAGGGAAGATTTCTGATACATGGGATCATCTTTGTCATCCTCCTTTGTACGTTTTCCAGTGCATTTAAATCCATTCTGTAATACGAGTGACCAGAACTGTGCAGCATAATCTAAATAAAGCCTAACCAAAGATATATAGAGTTCAAGAACAACCTGAGGACTCCTATTATTTCTGCTCCTTGATATGAAGCAAAGGATTCTGTTTGCTGTATTGCGAATACTTATGCACTGTTGTCTTGTTTTTAGATTACTGCTAACCAGAACTCCCAAATCCTTTTCGCAATCAGTAATATTAAGATGTACATTATTTATATGTGGCATGGTTATTTTCTTGTCCAATGCCTAGAACTTCACATCTGTCTATATTAAACTGCATCTGCCACTTTTCCGACCACTGCATCAGTCTATTCAAATCTTCCTAGGGTGCTCTAATGTCCTTATTAGAATGAATTGGACGGCCTATTTTGGTGTCATCAGCAAACTTGCTTATGTTGCTATTTATTCCCTCATCAATGTCGTTTAATAAATTGTGAACAACAAAGGGCCCAACACTGACCCCTGTGGAACACCACTCGTGACGCTTCCCCACTCTGCTTTCTCCCAATTGATGCAAATTCTCTGCTGCCTATATGTCAACCACGCCTCTACCCAGGAAAAAATTTCTCCTATTCCGTGTGCCTTAATTTTCCTCAATAGCCTCTGGTGTGGAACTATCAAAAGCCTTACTGAAGTCTCTATACACAATATCATATTCATTACCATGATCTACCTCCTCAAATACCTTAGTGAAAAAAGTTAGTAAATTCGTAAGGCAGGAACGCCCCTTTGTAAAACCGTGCTGAGATTCATTAATCAATTTATGCCTGTCAAGATGGCTACGAATTGCCTCGGCAATTATTGATTCCATAAATTTTCCCACTATGGAGGTAAGGCTTATTGGTCTATAGTTCGAAACTAAGGACCTGTCTCCTTTGTAAATAGGTATTACACTTGTCATTTTCCACTTGTCTGGCATCACGCCAGTTTGTAGTGATATGTTGAAAAGACTAGCCAAAGGTTTGCTAAGCTCCTCTTTACATTCCTTTAACACCCTTGCAAACAGTTCATCAGGGCCTGGGGATTTGTCTGAGGACCGTTTCACTAGTTACCCTAATCATGCATAGTTTATTATCGTCCTGTTCTACATAATTTATTATTTCTGGAATTTGGCTAGAATCTTCCTGCGTAAAACCTGTGAGGGAATAAGAGTTAAAAATTTCACACATTTCCTTATCACTGTCAGTGATCTGACCTGAGTTACTTTTGGGTGGGCCAATCTTGTCCCTAATCTGACTTCTATATACCTGAAAGAAACCTTTTGGGTTAGTCTTCGAATCCCTTGCAACTTTAACCTCATAATCTCTTTTAACTTTTCTTATTCCTTTTTTTATTTCTCTTTAATTGAATATATTGATTTCTTAACTGACCATCCCCTCTTTTGATACGACTATACATGCCTCTCTTTTGACTAATGAGATGTTTAAATCTATTGTTTATCCATTTGGGATAGTTCCAGCTGCCCAGACAACATATGTTCCCTACTTGGAACATAAGTTGTCTGGGCAGCTGGAACTATGCTCTAAAAAACGTCATACTGGCAACCACCACCACCTACCTGACCCATAGTCATTTTGATCAAATTTAGCCCACTCAGGTAATTTCTCAGTTCCATGAAATCAGCCAAGTGGAAGTCTGGGACAGAGATTTGATTGCAGTTATTTGGGTAAATCCATGATATACTGAAACTAAGTGATTTGTGATCACTTTCCCCAAGTCAGTCTTAATTAGTGATTCTTTGTTGGCAAGAACCAAGTCAAGCAGACTGTTTCCTCTAGTTGGTTCTGTCACAAACTGTTTTAAAAAGCAATCCTGAACCGTTTAAAGTCACTTAGACTCAAGATTTCCTGTCATACTGTTCCAATCAATTTGTCTAAAGTTAAAATCTCCTATTAACACGACATTTTCATATCTAGATGCCCAAATAACCCGCACATAGAAGAGAGGAGCTTACGACGATGTTTCGGTCCGACTTGGACCATTTACGAAGTCACACTAACCAGAAGTGTAGCAGGACGGCTATATATAGGCAGGAAGAGGTAGTGGTGGAAGTAGTGGGGAATTAAATAGGAGGAGGAGGAGCCAATCAAATACAAAGAAAGGGGAGCACTGCAAGGGAGCTAGGTGCTCACAGAGGGAGAGCAAGTGCACAGAGGTGGGGGGAAGGGGAAGTGATGAAATAATGAAGTAACAAAACACGCGACAGAAGAAAGGAAGACAAAAAAGGAAAGAGGAAAGGGGAAGATGGAGAAGAAGAAAAAGAAAAAATGAGGAATCAGGTTAAGTCACGGAACATTTTACAATGTAGTGGGAGAAGAAGGCATCTGCAGAGACGAAGCCAGGACTAAGATTCATACAAGGAAAGTTGTGTATTAGAGAGGATTCAACTAGACGGCGACTGTTAGAGTTGGCTACCCTTCCCATTTCATAGACTCTTCCTTCTCACGTGCTAAACGTAATTTCTTCTCTCCCAAAGTCTCTACTCCTGGGAACTCTTCTGTCCTCTGCCTTCCCTACATTTCCGGTCTTTCTAATCTCAACAATTCTCTCTGTCCCTTAGACATCAAGCTTACTTTCCGCCAGACTAACACTCTTCGCACTAATCTCGTTCATACCTCTCCTCCCTCTACAGATGTTCCTGGTGTCTACTCTATTTCCTTGCTCCTCCTGTCCTTTTCAATACTTTGGAGAAACTGGTCGATCTCTTTCTGACAGACTTAGGGAGCACAAAAATAGTGTTAGGCTTGCCGACACTAACAATGCTCTTTTCTGTCACGTCAGAGATCACAGCCATCCTATTGACTGGTCTTCTGCTAAAACTGTCTTCCCTACTTCCAACTTTAACAGTCGCCGTCTAGTTGAATCCTCTCTAATACACAACTTTCCTTGTATGAATCTTAGTCTCTG